ATTTTTTTCAACTTCCGGTTTTTCCGGAAATCTTATCAACGTTTAATTTTCAAATAGAACACCCTGTATATTATTACATTTTTGAAATCTACACAATTTTCTGAATCCATTGATACCCCATACTTGATATTTTAAGTGTAAAGACGCTCGGTTTATTTTTCGATCTATATATATATACGTAGAGCTAATAAGTAAAAACATAGTTAGATGTATTACAAAAAACACAATTTGGCTGTATTACAGTAGTAGTAATAAGCCTACATGGTAGAGTAACTTTCAAGTCAGGCTCATGTATTTTGACTAGAGTAACGTGGTTCTTAACTTGACCAATAGGTTCATAATAAATGTCGAGATTTTCATAGAGTTGATTGTAGAATTTGCTCATTGCAACAACTGGTGACTTGAGTAATATGTTTGATCTGTAATTTGGTAGATAAAAAGTCAGTTCATTTCTAGAATTAATTCGTGGAACATGAAAGTTGAAGTGGGAGAGTAGTTCGGGAGAGTCAATCAGATTATTCACTAGTTCATAAATGAAAATCATAGAGTAGTAGGTACTTCGGTTTTGAAGGGATAATATCAGTAGTATTCTGTCGTGGATGCCTTGTTCAGGGTAAACTCCTTGTAGCTTGTAAGTAATGTATTTCTTGTAATGTATTTTGCTTATGTGGACATTGTATATGGGTGACCATATAAGGGAGGCATATCCCAGTAGAGATTTGACGTATGCATTGAAAAGGCTTAAAAAACTATCTCTGCTACGAAAATTCTTACAGTTACGATAGATGACACCTAGCACCCGTTTGGCTGAGCATGTTATTGTTTCTTACTGTATGGAGAAACTCAGTTTAGGGTCAAATGTGACACCAAGATCCCTTTAATCTTTGGGAAAGAAAGTTTTTGGCTTTCTACTACTCCATCTTGATATATACAAAAAAAGGAATGAGGGAATCTTCCAAAGAAAGGAGGAAAGTAATCAATTTGAAAAATAAGTTACTCTATACATTTTTTAATCTGTTTAAAAAATCTGTTTTCCGTTAATCAGCTGTCGCCCCCATACGAACGACAACTCTCAGAAGTTGAGAAACTTTTGCGAGCTAAGGACTAACGAGATCTTACCTTTTAACGTGTGATTCCTTTAATGAGTGCTCATTTGAAGAGGTGTGTTATTTATGCAGTAATCATGAGAAATAACATTATGTTTAAGGGCGTATTTTGAGGATTAACATTCATTTGTGTCAAGGTCTTTTTGTAACATAAAGCACATGAAGATATAAGAATGAAATATTGATTCTCAAACTAAATTAAATTTCATTACCTGAATAACGAGTTTTGAGAAGAACATTTGATTGAAAGTAGAATTGATGAAGACACAATGTTTTGATATATGAATAGAGTAGTTATAATCAATCTTGCTTTGACTTGCAACCGTAGAACCGGCACCCTAGTGACCTGATTTACTTGAAGCGGCTGAGATGCTTTCTTTTCGATTTCAATGAAATTGCTAGTATTCAAAATAATGTCTCATTAAAATGAAAGGGGTATATCTAAGGAAAGATTTATTTTTGAAAAAAAAGGTTTTGGCTTTCTACTTCTCCATCTTTATACGAAAAAAACGTGGGAATCTTCCAGAGAAAGAGGGGAAAACAATTAATTTCAAAATAAACTCCATGAAATAAGTAACATTCAGACAAAAACTGGAAGAATAGGCCTTACATGAAATTTTTAATGCAATATCATTCCGAGTGGCGAAAAAAATTGCCTCAAAATTTGTTCACACATTTAATTAAATAACTTCTCAAAGTTGAACGCCTTTTTACACAAAAGGCGTTTTTATATTTTACTTATGAGTAATTTTTTTTATCTTTAAAATGAAACACGCTGTGTTGTAATGAAAAGCCTAAAAAGCATTTTAAACACTTTCATAATATATGTGCTAGCGAAACGTGATATATTTTTCAAAAAAAAATTTCCCATAAAGTTTGTGGAGATCGAATCGTGAGGTGTAGTTTTTGAAATAACTATGGATCTTCATCAAGTAACGGCCGAACCAATCAGAAAAAAATATCGACACGTGTTCCAATCACTAAGTGATTATCTTCAAGAGGAAGGATAAAACTCCATTAATATTCATTACTGTGTGAAGTTGGCCGCGGTGGTAGTGCGCCCGACTCACGATCGGAAGATCGTTGGTTCGATTCCCGCCTCGACCAGGTATTTTTCTCGAGAGTATTTATCTGGTTGAAGCGGGGATGATTCTGCAACCGTGTTAGGAATCGCACGTTAAAAGGTAAGACTTTGTTAGTCCTTAGCTCGCACAGGTTTCTCAACTTCTGAGAGTTGTCGTTCGTATGGGGTCGACAGCTGATTAACGGAAAAACTGATTTTAAACTGACTGATTTTAAACTGACTACACCAAAGGTTCCGAACAGTGCATCACAAGTGAATAATTTGAGTGTTTCTTTCAGATATTTTCAAGTGATTCAAATCCATGTCACATTTCTTTTGAAAAATATAGTGTTCGTTAGTGGGATATTGCGGTTGCTGTATTTCTCGATATTGAAGGAGCATTTGACAATGCACTATCTGAATCTATAAGATCATCCCTGGTAAACAGAACTGCAACTACGACTCTTCAAGGCGAGGCCATTAGGTTCAGTGTCATCAGAGGCTGCCCTCAAAGTGGGGTACTATCTCCCCTTCTATAGTCGCTCCTGATGGATAGTCTGCTTGATGCCCTCGACAGAAGAAAAATAGATTTACAAGCTTATGCAGATGGCAAAGTCTACGTCGAAAAGGGTAGATTGTAATATTTTCCAAAGCACCGCAGCAAAACTGTGATAATCCTCTCTAGGGGGAGAAAATTGGACGATTTAACGCCACTTTCTTTCAATGGTGAGGTCATCATATTTGGAACGGAGGTGAAATATCTTGGAATTGTCCTTGATGAAAAACTCACCCGGAACGCTCACTTGGAAAAAGGTTTACATAAAGCCAGACTGTCCCTATGGACATATCGAAGGATTTTTGGTAAAACTTGGGGTTTAGGTCCCAAACAAATCCATTGGATTTATGTGATGATTATCAGACCAATGATCACTTATGGAGTAATTGCCTGGTGGCCGAAGGCTTTACAGAAAACGGCTTAGGCAAAGCTCTCGGGGCTTCAGAGACAGGCCATCACTGGCGCCAGACTGACCATCAGTGGCGCCATCAGTGGCCATGGGGATCCTTTTAGATCTACCTCTTCTCTGCATTTTTTTGGAGAGAGGCTAGATGGACTGCATATAAACTTGTACACATTATCAACTGCACAAATAAATTCAATGCAGAGTACAATAGACTGCTGGTTGACACTAGAAGTCATAGCATTCTGGGGAAGATCTCTGACATTATGTTTCCAACTTTCAACTACGAACTGCCCGAGTAGAGAGAAGTGGATCCTCCGGAGGAAGGAAATGTTAAGAGCAGATAGTTATTGGTTCACAAATGGATCAAAAACACCTTCAGGTTCTGATGCAGGTGTTTTCAGTGGCAGATCCAGAACAGAAATATCAACCTGCCTAGGGACCCATGCAACTGTATTACAAGCGGAAACCTATGCTATTGAATTGTGTGCTGAGAGATTGGTGGAATCCAATCTCAAAATACAAGTCAATAAAAATATTCTCGGACAGTCAAGCGACATTGGAAGCTCTTGGCTCCTACTGAGCAATGTCTAAATTGGTAGGAAATTTTCAAAAACGACTCTCCTCGATAGGAAGACTTAACAAATTGTATCTGATCTGGATTCCTGGTCATACTGGCCTGGAGGGGAACGAGGGTGCTGACTCCCTTGCAAAGGAGGGTGCTGCAAGCAGATTCATCGGACCAGAACCTGTCACTGGCATCGCTTTAGGCTTTGCCAAACAAACATTGAACACCTGGATGACAAGAAGATTTATGGACATCTGGCAAAATCTTCCAGGATTGACTCACTCTAAGAGGTTGATTCATCTTTCGAAACTTGATACCAAACAGTTGTTGGACTACAGTAGGGATGAACTGCGGTGTCTTACAGGCTCTCTCACAGGTCACTGTCTTGTGAATCATCATATGCAGAGACTCGGACTGCCGGAAGACAGTGTGTGTCGCCTCTGTTTGGAAAATGATGAAACAGCAGAGCACATACTTTGTGCTTGTTTCGCTGCGGACTGAATCAGGTTTTCAGAGTTTGGCAGAGCCGCACTCTTACCATCTGACCTGAAAAAACACTCACCATATAAACTAATCGACTTCGTTAAGAAGCTGGGTTTATTCGGTCGAGTGCGAATAGGTATGAGCCACAATAAACCCTTGCGGGTTGCGGTGGGGGTCGAATTGATTCACTTAATTTTGACCTACCCTAACCTAACCTAGTGGGAGAAGAAAAGGGTATTGTTTGGTTTTCTAATAGCGACTCATGGAAGTCATGATATATTTCAAAGCAATTCCACTATAGTGTGTGAACAATATGAATATTGCCTTAATGGAAAATCGAATGAAAGGATAGACTTGAACTAGTTCATTGTTAGACACGATATCATTATGTTATAGAAATGTTTCTATTGAATTATAT